AAGTGTAAAAATATGTACAAATTACTATATATTGATACAAGCTCGTGAAAATATTTGATACTTTTGATGCAATAGATTCTTATTACAAAGCTTTCTTACAAGATATCTTAAACCAGAAAAACCATGTGAGCATTGATAGGGCTTCAGGATTCAGAATATTTCATCTGATGATGACACATGTAAATTGTATTGAAATGTTATGTTCTTTGTTATTAAAGTGTTATACCATAATATATTCCCTTGTGTTTTTTGTTATATGTACTTTGTGCTTCTAGATGTCTTCAAATCTTATTGGAACCTATTAAGTAATTTTTGATGCTCAAATTCAAGGGGTTTTGATATACATTCAAAATATACATAAGAATAACTTGCAGTATTTCAAATCTACTGTCAAATATTGGTAATTAGGAGCTTATTTTACAACTTAACAGTAAGATTGGGAATACACAAGGTGTGAACACTGACAGACTATCCGTAAAGCAGTAATCTCCAGAAAATATGATCAATTCTATAAATCATAGATCAGTGTTCGCTTGTTAACACCTTTCTTAGTAATAATGTACTAGAGCTTACATTTCCTGACACCCTCCCTCCGTATTCCCTTCCTATTGACAGTCCTAATCAATCAAATGTCTAATCAAATTCAATTAACTGTAAACTCTTTGTATTGAGGCAGAAATTAGCCCGGCTTTCTCTTCTCTTCAGCTGTTTTTATATTGGGTAGGTGAGATGGTCTCTTGGCTTCTATTGAGGTTTTACACAATGAAGATTTTGCCTGCTTAATTAAGTGTTATGCCTTTTTTATGTCAGCAATAGAGATGTCTTTCCAAATGAGATTTTAAAGAATGAATTCAGAGGACTTTCGGTACACATCTGTATCAAGATTTAAATTGATGGAAAATCATCATGCATAGTGAACATTGGTAGTACATTATAGATCATGATAGTCATTGAATTTCACTCCACATTGCATTAGTTCCTAAGTTTTTCTTAATGATTTACAAGCTTTCTTACTGAGTTAATAGAGGACACATCGAAGTCTAACAAAAAGCTGATGATTTTATCACATGGTCAGGCTTTTGCTATTTATTGCTTTGAATTTCTTGAAAATTTTAATTATCTATTCAGTAATATAATATATGTTAAAGATTTCCAGAGAATTCAAAATAATGAAATGAAGTTTTAGAATATTCTACTTTTTTAGCTAGGCAATTCTACTTTTCTGCACCTGATTGAGCTAGGCAATTCTACTTTTCTGCACCTCTTTGAGCTAGGCAATTCTACTTTTCTGCACCTGATGGAGCTAGGCAATTCTACATTTCTGCACCTGGTAGAGCTAGGCAAATTCTGCAGATGATATTTTGGTTTGACATAAAGAATGAGGCCAGCTTAAAATAACTGGAATGTAATAAAGAATATTTATGTACTGTAATACATGATAAGAGTGCTATCTTGAAGAATTATAAGACAAAAGAAGAATGTAATATTTGATATTTTGGTGAGGTTTTTAAGTTTATGATCTGTCAGTGTTATCATATCATTCATAACTCATAGTAAATATACTTCTTTTCATATAATCTAAACAGTATGTTTTTAAACTACCTTATTTCTATATATCTATATTGTATATCAGGCTTAAAATAAAGTATTTTGGATATAAGCATTGGATGTAGAGGAAAAGTGATATAAGGTGCACGGTAAGGGCTCAACAGAATCTCCTTCCAGCTCATACAAATCATGACAAAATTGCAAATGAGGCTTCCTGTTCCCCTGGTAAAAATTTAAAAAGACTTCAGATTTGCTTTTGTACATAGTTCACATTTCAAGTTTTCAAAAAGGTTAGAAAATGGCTGAACATAAAAATTCTACAAATAGTTTTATATTTTTCCAAATTTCATGCAATTGTTCCTATGTTTGCTTACTCGTTCTAATTTGCATGATAATTCAAAGACAAACAAATTTTAGGAATGTTTCTTTTGTTTTTATTCACATGAAATAGACATAAAGTTTACGTCTGCTGTTTTATATAAAGATTAAGATAGGGATCTAAAGACATAAACAACATTATTTTCAAGTTGTCTAAACAAATGCCAGTGAATTTATGACATTTCACTTTTGCTTTCACCCAAAACATGTTTGACCATAGTAATAATAATCTAACCTTTGACCCCCAAATTACTATTAGTACACTTAGGTATTGTGATGTATCTGTAACCAAACTGAATTGTGTTTTCACAAAGGAAACTCTCAATTGAGGCGAAAAGGCCAGGATACATACAATTAATCAAAGTCAATTGTAATATGTCTGAAGTTGGCAAAGTTTACCAACTCTAACAAGGTTTAAGTTGTAACAAGACTTTGATCTGCTGGATGGTACAGATGTTTTTTAACCATGAGCTGAGTTAAAGTATTTATGATTGATTCAAATACTGGTGTAACAATTCACCTTTCAGAGGATTTAGTACAATGTCTATTTATACCAACAAGTTTGTTAAGCATTGAAAACTTTCAGTCAATGACCTTGAATACAAAATCTCTCCAGAAGTAAGTAATTTCTTATCAAATTGATGTATTCTAATGCTGAAATCCATAGTCTCTACTTAATTGTGACCTTGGCCAGTGCTTCTATAAGAGAATATCTCTCATAACATCTAGTACTGCAGAAAGGTATGTCTGAACTTAGATCAGTGGATTAATTTCATCAAAATTTATTATATATCAGGAGTACAAAATTGACTTGATTTGCTAAATTGACTCTTCCTTGAGAGTAAACAGAATTGTCAAACCAAGTTGCAAAGTGGCATTAGGTGTTCTGAAACATGCAGTCCAACCCCTTCACAAAACACAATGATTAACAAATCAGTGATTCTTAACATTTCTAAATATCTAAATTCGGGACAAGTTGACAATCAGAGATTCTGTGTGTATCAGAAAAAAGCCAAATGACATACATGGGATTGAATTAAAATTTAAAAAGAGTTCATAAAGTTAAATCAAGAACAACAATAAAACATTCAAAAGACGGTCTAAGAAAAACATTGTCACGAAATTTATTTCATCATTGTGTTTGTGCTAGACAGAAAAAACAATTTGGCTGAGATTTTCACTTAAAAATGAGCTTTTATGTAACCATTAGTTTAAGCTTATAGCATGATTATATAAGATCAAACGACACGACATGTGCTATATGGACTGAATTTAAATGTTGTGTCGCTAAACTGCTATCTAGTTACGCCATTTTTGTGATATCTATTAGACCACTGGGACCAACCATCAGTTTTTAATGAGACTACAGTACAATAGGATGGCAATTAACCACACTTATTTTCCCTCTTAAACAGATTTTAATATTCTTAATTTACATCATGTTTGTGTGCCTTAACTTTCAGGACACATGTCTGCTGTTGGCGCTTAAATGATCTTACTCTTATCAGAACCAGAAAATTGAAATGTTCCGGAAGGATTCTTCAAAAAAGATTTAGCATTAAATTTCAAATACTACCCTTTTGAAATGGTTGGTGCCTCTTACTATCAAATGGTTGTTTTGAAGGAAAAAAGTGTCACATTTTTCTGGAACATGCTATTTACCAAGTAAAAATTGAGTTGGTTTATGTCATAGTTATTTTGAATTAAATTGGACAAATTCCGATGGTCTACATACAAGCACTATCCGTATTGTGACAACAATTCCTGAATGGCATGGACTTTGATTCTAATTCCATTTAAAGGTTAACATGATCTGAAAGTTCCATTAGTCTGCAACTCTAATTCTGGTTAATGTAATTGACATGCAGAAGTTGAAAAAACTGGTGCATTTATTTGATGATTTTTCAAGATTTTTAAGATATATTTTTTTTAAATGAAAGCGTTGTTAGAAGACATGTTTTGCATGTGAAAATGAGAACTTTCTCTTGCTTTCAAAAATTAAGTTTTTGTAGTTGGTGTTGAAGTTTCTGGGTGAATGACATTTATGGAGTTTAAACTAATTGTGTGAATGATACCATCCTGATGCTCTGTTTCAATTTGGCAAGTGTAAAGTATTTTTTTACCTATTAATGAATTTTGAGAACGAGTTGAGTTGCTTTTGAAGTTTCTACAAGACAAACTATCCTTATTCAATGATGATATTGATGCTATGTTCATATGTATTCACTCATGTTTCAATAATTTAATATTTTTCAAATAAAGAATCTTAATGATAATTATTGGGTTTTTTTTAATCTTGCAAAATATTTTTGAGATTTAAAAAAAAGGAATTGTCAACCAAAACCCAGCTAATTGGTCAATTCTTGAACACTAATTTGCAGGCTAACAGAAGACAGGCTACATTATCTGCCCAAAAATTCACATGGCTTTACTATAAGTTATTAAGAATTAACAGTGAGTGCCACGTCACAGTTTAAAAAACGAATTTCCTGACAAATTTTGTTGAGTATGGGATGACAATTTGTAATCGTGCTGTATATTATGTTGTAGAAAGTGATTATATTGTGTTGTGTTAAATACATTGTGTTGTAGAAAGTGATTTTATTGTGTTGTATTAAATATATGTGTTAAATATATTGTGTTGTAGAAAGTGATTTTATTGTGTTGTTAAATATATTATGTTGTAGAAAGTGATTTTATTAGATTGTGTTTAATATATTATGTTGTAGAAAGTGATTTTATTAGATTGTGTTTAATATATTATGTTGTAGAAAGTGATTTTATTAGATTGTGTTTAATATATTATGTTGTAGAAAGTGGTTTTATTGTGTTGTGTTTAATATATTATGTTGTAGAAAGTGGTTTTATTGTGTTGTGTTAAATATATTGTGTTGTAGAAAGTGATTTGATTGTGTTGTCTTAAATATATTGTGTTGTAGAAAGTGGTTTTATTGTGTTGTGTTAAATACATTATGTTGTAGAAAATTATTTTATTGTGTTGTGTTTAATATATTATGTTGTAGAAAATTATTTTATTGTGTTGTGTTAAATACATTGTGTTGTAGAAAATTATTTTATTGTGTTGTGTTAAATATATTATGTTGTAGAAAATAAAAAGACTTACATTGTATATTGAGCATGGACTCTGAACTCTGGAGGGAAAAACCAGTGGTCACGTTGGTAGCTATACACTGATAGGGTCCTTCATCTTCACCACGTAACACACGTAATATCCTTAAATGACTTCCCTCTTGAAACCGTCTGCTTGTGTTAGGTAAGAGGTTGCCAGATTGTGTCCATTGAAAAACAACATGGCGTCTGTCTGACACATCACATAATAGTTTGATTTCTGTTCCTTCCACCACATCTAGATCTCTTGGTGATAAACTAAAGTAGAAATTATCTTGACCTTCAACAGCAGTTATTCCTGAAATGATCATTATAAAGTCTGAATTAAAGTAACTTCAACATAAAAATTCTTATGGAAATTTTTGTCAAATCAAACTTGGTTGTCATGGTTACAAGAGGGACAAAATCTGTTATATTTTCATCAGATCGTACTTAATTCCACTGCTGCGTCATACATACTACTGTTAAGTTGTATGCCTTTTAGGTGACAGCTAATTATTTGCAAAAGTTATCTTATGGTTTGGTTCACAAGAATTTTATTTATTGTTTATTTTTTGCTATATAGATTTCCGATAATTTAGGGTGTGCATTGTAGTTGTAACCGTAGTTGTAACCATACACTAATGTATTTGTTTGTGAATTGAGTAACCGTATAAAGATGTGTCATTTTATTCTAAATCAATATTAATGGCTATCATTCAAATTCGACATCAGGCTCAGTTACCAATAATCACTCACTCACTCACTCAGACAAACAAATATTGAAAGAGATATTGTATTCCTTAATCTGCTCTTGAAAGTAAAATTGGTGAAAGCTGGAAGAAACTCTAGTCCTTCACCTGTTAAACCCTATTATTACTAACAAATATTGAATCTTTGCTGACTAATATTGAACACTTTAGCAAAATTATATGCAACAAATCCAGTATTTTTGAAATTGTCAAATTAAATGTACAGAAGTCTGGTTGGGAACTGGAGTGGTTAGTAAGATTTTTTGACTATGACTGGGAAATTTAATTTTAATTGCCCTGAAACAGCTTGTATGGCTCCTTCTGAGTCCTATTTTCAAAATGTCAAAAACCTTAATGTTGATAATGAGTTGAAAAGCATATTAGCTTCTTTGAGAAAGGGGGAGGAGCTTAAGTAAACTATTGCCGTAATCCTGGCAAAATATTCCTTATTGCAAAATACTAGACATTACCCTACTTCATTAGCCCAATATAGAGTAGAAAAGACACAAACACATTATTTTCATTTCATTAATAACATAAAAATGTCATAACTGGCTAAACAACCAATAATTCAACAAGTCTTATATTCAATTTATTTGATATGCCATTCTGATTCTCAACTGATACTTTAAAAAAAATCTTTGATTCAACATCACGAATATAGGGTCAAATGAGTGTAGGCAATTCTACTCAAGAGGCATGTTAAAAAAACAAGAAATATTGGCATAAAGCAAATTCCTGTCAAAACAATGATATATGGAGACAGACATGAGTTTTTGATGATCTAAAAAATGACCAAATCCAATGAAAGTTTTTACAAAATCAATACCAATACCATTAACTAAGAGACATTGTAGAAAGATTGTGACTCTAAATTTAGACACCAAAATCTCGTTCTACTGAAGCAATGTACTGTATACTTCAATTTCAAACATAATAAGACAACTGTGGTACATGCTTTTATTAATATTTACCAAGCAGTGATCCAACGAACTTTTATGATATGTACATTTAAGCTTAACTTTAAAATATTCTCTGACTTAAAGGAACAGTTTTGCCGTTTTCCAGGGTTGATTTGGGTCTTGAATACATGTAATTAGTCTTCAGAAGTACCAGAAATGTATAAAAATCACATAATTTCTTCAAAAATTCATCAAACTAGGAGTTTCGCCTTCTATTTCTACATAATTCTGGACACTCATGGATTTGAAGGCTCAAATTTCGATGGTGAGCTGTGAACACTATTACTGATTAGCTAATCTAAAAAATTCGGAGACTAAGTTATGATTGGTCAAACAAATGGCCAACCTGTACCTTTAATAAAATCATAATAGTTTTTGTAGCACCATAAAATGGTCAAATCAACTGAAGTCAAGGATAAAATTTCATAGTTGAAAAATTATGTAGATGGTCAGAAACATATGGGGGAGGGGTAAATAGCACCTGCCAGAAATTAACTGAAACCTAAAAGGTTTTGCTTATTATGTTTGACTCTCGACACAGTAATAAAGTCCCACCATCTCAGCTCGGCAAGTAAAAGTTATGTTCATCTCAAGTGTCTTAATTAACTTTCTACACAAAAAACCTGTTATTAATGTCAATGACATAATGTTCTCTCATAAATCATACATATATTTACAATTTATCGTCATTCTGAGACATATTGGAAAGACTTGCTATGGTTGCTCTGTTCCAAGGAATATGAGGTTTAGATCCAAATTTAAATGCTTTTTGTACTGCATCAATTGGACAGAAATAATTTCTAGAGAAAAAAGTGGACCTTCATTGCTTTTATTTAGGGGTTTGCTTCTATTTCGGAAAGAAGAATATGTGAAATTTACTTATATGAGACATAAAGCAAAACTTTGCTACTGTGGTGCCGGTAGAAGGTTAGGGGAACATTGATCCAAAATCAGACATTCAATTCCAACTCTTAAATGTCCATCAGTTGAAAAGTGGATCTCAGTGAGTAGCAATATTGGTGAAACCTTGATCATGGCACCAATTTTGATGATATTCTATGTAAAACAGAGCTATTAACAAACGCCATGCAAAACTGAGTACCAAACATAACATGGGTTCATATTTCAATTTGAATGAGTCCTACAATATTCTACATTTTTCATTATGGCATATAGTGGGAAACAGCATTGTCTGGAGTTAATATTTCAATCTTAAAATATTACATAAATTTTGCCAAAATATATTTCTTAAAAAAAAAAAGAACCTGGTCTCATTAATCTTAGAAAATGTCGGAACTTGAAGGTTAACAGCAGAGATTAGACCTATATAACTAAATAACTATTTACTTTACCAAGATACTTAAAAACACTAGCTTGAAAACACTTACAATGGGCTTAATAACCTGGTAAAATTAGACGGTTAAGTCAACAGAAGTCATGGAGGTCGAAGGCTTTCTATTTATTGTACTGAAGAGGTGACCTACCTACTAGTTATCATATACTAAACCATAATTTGACAAATACTAGTATCTAGATATGGATCACGTCCCCATTCAGATCCAATTTTGGGCATAAAATACCAGACGTCATTTTTGCACAATACCACCTTGTAAAGTTCAAAACAGGATGGATTTTCTTGCAACTCAACAAATCAGGAACACATGGAGCGCAAAGGCAAAAAAATGAAATTTTATATTTCTGAACATTATTGGGCTCATGAAGACTGAAAAAAAGATGCTATGCAGTGTGCAATGTCAAAACTTGATGATATCTGCCTGTCGCACAAAGGTCCTTAAAGGGACAGATAGGCCATTTTTTTGACCAATAATACTCTCAGAAACTTTTTAACTGAGCTAATGAGTAATAGTGTTCACAGCTCACCATGGAAGTTTGAGCCTTCAGGTCCGTGTCTATCCAGAAGTGTCTGTGTTTGAATGTTAAAATAAGAAATAGTGAGTAAAATTCTTAGTTTGAAGTATGAACTGTTAAAGTAGAACATCAATGAAACTCCTGTTATCTGAAATGCATGGACAAAGCCTCTGTACATTCATCTTTTTCTTATCCAAAGTATTAGTCTGGTTAAAGTCTCTTTAAAGTACATCTAGACAATCAAGGTGAGGTAAAAAAAATAGTATAATGTAATATCTATTTTCAGTCAGATTATTGTGAAATATGAAAGATCTGTCAGTACTGTAATCTAAGAAACAGCCTCATCTACCATCATACAGCTACAAGACTAGGTCAAATATTCCTGGTTATTTCCTCTCAATTCATACTCTAGTATTTCTAATATATGAAGATAATGGTAAAAAAAAGGAGACATGGTTTTACTCTGTCAATGATGAAATTTGGAAGCGGCTGACTTAGAAAGACTTATAATCGTTCAGATTGGGTATGAACTGTGGTCCTACTTTATACATGCTGTTTTAAATCTGTAACAGTTGTAAAGAAAGTATGCTTATGTCACAGTTCATAGTAAAATGTCCCATTTTACAATGCATAATGTAGAATGTGACACAGTTAAATGAATGTATGAGCTAGGTTGAATGAAGAATGTGACAAAGTAAGAAGCTTGAGACAAGAATAGCTTCTGTAGAATGTGACAAAGTTAGATGAATGTATCAGCTATGTTGAATGAAGAATGTGACAAAGTAAGAAGCTTGAGACAAGAATAGCTTCTGTAGAATGTGACAAAGTTTGATGAATGTATCAGCTATGTTGAATGAAGAATGTGACAAAGTAAGAAGCTTGAGACAAGAATAGCTTCTGTAGAATGTGACAAAGCTTGATGAATGTATCAGCTATGTTGAATGAAGAATGTGACAAAGTAAGAAGCTTGAGACAAGAATAGCTTCTGTAGAATGTGACAAAGTTTGATGAATGTATCAGCTATGTTGAATGAAGAATGTGACAAAGTAAGAAGCTTGAGACAAGAATAGCTTCTGTAGAATGTGACAAAGTTTGATGAATGTATCAGCTATGTTGAATGAAGAATGTGACAAAGTAAGAAGCTTGAGACAAGAATAGCTTCTGTAGAATGTGACAAAGCTTGATGAATCAGCTATGTTGAATGAAGAATGTGACAAAGCAGAGTGTCAGAAACACTGCTTATAATGAAGAATGTGACGAAAAGAGACAAATATAACAACTAAATTAATAAAGAATGTGATTAAGTAACAAGAATATGACAATTATGCTTATTAATGAAGAATGTGACAGTGCTTACTAAGAATGTGACAAAAAAAGACAAATGTAACAAATATGCTAATGAAGATTGTAATAAAGTAAGAAGAATGTCAGAGTTATGTTAATGAAGAATGTCACAATGTAAGAGAAATGTAATAAATGTGTTATAGTGTGTATAGAAACCTGTTATTATTATTATTAATTATAAATAATGAATTAATAATAATAATATAAAGACTAATAATTAGATACCTGCTGACAAATATAATATCAACATTAGTAAGATAACAACTACTACAGTTTATCAGGGTTTGTATTTTTAACTTTTGTCATTCTTGATCAAAACCATTTCTTATTGGATATAATTTTGCACAACTCATCCAGCTCTTTGCATTTACTTTCCATTCACAGAATTTGCA